TAATTATTTTAACCATTTGCCTAGGAGAGGGGAAAAGATTTTTTTGGGATTGCTGAGGGCCCCGGTGTAGAACGCTCTTTAGTAAATTAGAGGCAGCGTTCCCTCAAATTGGTGGGTATCGGAATTTTACAACCTTGCAGTGGCGGGCCCCCAACTAACCTATCAGTGAGGTTTCGAGCGAAAAAAAGCGCTTTTGGAAAGCCTGAGATCTACTCCGAAAGTCTTTCGGATCCCGCCCCCTCGTTCCAGACCCCTCCCACTTACACTTATAATCTGGCGAACGCATTTTAATGCGCTGCAAAGCCCAGATATAGTCTTAGCATGGCGAGAAGTCTCTCAAATGGTGGAAAATTAGAAAACGAATTTTCGAGGGACACTCGTTTATCGAAGCTAGAAACTTGTAAAATTCTATATCGTGGACTACCAGGAAAGTATAAACACGTAGCTGCAGCCGTTGAACATCTTCGTGTTATAGGTCCTCCCGTCTACTAGCTCTGGTAATTTGTTCTATGACAATGGCACTCATTCGTTGGACAGAGTCTATCCAAAACCCGAGAAGGAGCCGATTATTTATGGTAAGTGCTTGTTTTCCGAGCTTATCATGAGGACTTGTTTTCTCAAGCTAAAGTCTCATGATGAGCTGTTTTGATAATGTGTTCGTTTATGTCATGTGAAATAGGTCGAGAAAGAATGTAAAAATGGGGCTTTTCACCTCTTTCCTTCGATTTTTCAAGAACATTTCGAGACTTAGATCTTAGTCAGAATAGTGGGACTAGCATCAGTTTATATTTCTCAGACGTCGAAAATTTTATTTACTCTGTAGTCAATGTCTATCGTCAATGTATGAGAATTTATCAAAAGATAAAAAACAGTGTCATGTTAAGATACTCCATGTGATCGAGATCGTCGAGGCAGTACACATGGATGTGAAGCACGAGAAGCTGTGAAGACAATAAAATGTGGAAATTTGGAACTGGTTGAGTCAGCCGAACAGGTGATTATTTGCCAATAATTGCAAAAACATGTCTGCTGTGGAATTTATATTCGCATAATGTTTTGATATACTAAAAGTAGTAATGACTATTTGTCATCGCTGACTGATAAGCATTCATTTGGGAAGTGGGTGGTGTGATGATGAAGGAACGACAGATTTCATTAGAGACAGATTTTCCTCTATAAAAACGAAAAAGAGTTTATGAAAACAGGCAGCATATACAACAGAATCCAATCACTCATTTTTTACTACGCTAGTCATGCTATAAGAATGAGAAATGAACATTATTTAGATAAAATCGCGCAAACGAGATTGGATGGTAAACTTCA